ACTAACTTTTAAAAACAATTAAGACCTTTAGGATAGATTAATAATGACTGAGGTAAATGTAGAAATGACATGTTTAAGCTGTAAAAATGATGTTTTCTAATCCAGATAATAACATACCATGCACTAAAACACTTACTGAGTACAGCTAGGCACAAAGAAGGCATGAAACAAATGTCATTTGTATTTTCATGGCTCCTAGAAAAACACCAATCTAATTATTCTAGCACCTGCTAATACAAATGACATTTAACCTCATGAAAGGTCTGTAACTCCATTCTTTTTACCACTAATTCAAAACAGAATCTCAAGGCAAAAAGGTGGAGCAGTAGATTTTCTGTTTTGTGGGGTTTTAAACTAGTCCTTAAAGTTCAGCAACTGTGGCTAAGGGTGTCTTACTACTAATCATAATCATATCAATAAGGCTACCCAAGCACTAAAGTTTTAAAGGAGTATTTTTTTAACCCTGGCTGCATAACAGAATCACCTGGAGGCCTATGCACAGGTCCTATCTGAGACCTATTAAATCAGCGTATCTAGGGGGTGTGGCCAAGGTACCAGCATATTTTAAAGCTCCCCTATAAGTGATTCTAATTTGTAATCAGGATACAAGAAGAATCCTTGATGTAAACAACGGTAATAAAATTAAAATTTCCCATTTACTCCATTTTACCAAACAGTACCAGTTATAAGATTCTAGGACATTTCATTATAAAGGATTTTTGAAATTATTCATTATTTCTAGCGAAAACAAAGACTATTCTAGACTGATGAACTCTAATTAGCACAAGTTAATTCCTCAATTATTACCAAACTTGATTTTACTTTATTCTACTTCATAAAGATAATCCGACTTTAATTATCAGTGAGACAAATTTATTCCTTGGTTATGTTTTCAACACAGGCTATAAAAGAACCAACACATTCAAGCTCATTAAGAAATTTAAAGACAGTTTTTTGAGAGAAGTAAATTATGAATATGGGTACAACTGACAATACTGTAATTGCTTATGTTGAGAAACTTTTCATAAACATTAAACACATTAGAAATCCAATTAAAATTATTAGTCTTATTTACAAATATTTCTTGTACATTTAAAAACCTAATTATATAAAACATATGTTATGGAATATTTTGCTACTTGATTTCAAGTTACACGTTTCAGCAAAAATACATTTCAAATGCTTTATAATTCATAATTTCGGTAATTCAGAGTAGATTCCTTGGAGTTCATCCAAAATTAGGGAAAGTTTTACCATACTGAGAATTATTAATAAGATAAAAGATCGTGTTATTTTAGTTATTAAACAACAACAAAACCTGACTAAGAGCTACAATATTAAACTAAAGGTTATTCACACAATACAACTTTGCTTTTCCAGAAAAATTAGGTTGGACACTATTAGTGTCAAATGCTAGGACTGCCTAATCCAGGATCTATATTCCTGCGTTCTCTGGTTAGAAAAAAAGACAACACCCTGCCCCTCAACAAACACACAGAAAAGGACTCTCAAGAATGTCTTTGTGTCTCCACTTCACCACAGTATTCTAAACAATAACCAAGACAGTAACATCTAACAGCCTACTGACAGATAGTGTTAGGTACAGATTTTTAATTTGGCACCTAAGTTTTAGAGTAATTCTGAATATAGACCTATATTTTTATCTTTCTTATGGAAGGTATAATAGGCTAATTTTTAATTCTCTCTTTTTAAAAAACAAATTACTAATTCTGTCTTTTCAAGCAATACACAAAGTTATTTTAATATGGTTGCTCAGGTTAACAATGGCAGTCACCACACTGTGATTATCCCCCCACTAGTCCTACCTTAAACAGTTGACCTAACATTTACACACTATCAAAACACTCGTGTGTCATTCTTCTGTATACTTTATTAAGCAAAAGTCACAAAAAATTAATTGTAAATTAAGATCAGACCTAAAATGGCCAGTAAGGGGGGCATTTAAAGGCCTGAAAGTGCTAGTGTGCTCTCTACCAACATCCTTTATAAAATGATACCTATTGACCATTACTCCTACACATAATGGTTATACATTTTATAAATTCTATGTTCTCCTCAATGGAAATAAAAAATATACAGAATCTGCTCGTACATTAAAAAAAAAGGCAGATATGATTCTCATTATGCAGAATCCCTTGAATACAACTGCAGCATCATCCAATTACTTCAATTAGTTACAGCAGTGCTTCTAAACCATTTTTCACAAGTAGAAAAAGTTAATATTTATATAGTTCAGGAAGGAAGCTGCTTGTGGCTGGATGGGGTGGCCCTGAGGTTTCAATTTCCTAATGGCCCCCAGTCATCTAAAAGAGGCGGTGGAAACTTATCTTGAAACATCTATAACCGATTCTGTGTGCTGGCTGGGAAGCTCAGAATTATGGTAATCTACTTTTGCCTAATTAATTTTAAAATTTCATAATTTTTTTACAATATTTTCAAGTAAAAATATGCTCCATAAACCCACCTTGTATATTCTTCTTGTAACTTGTTGGGGTCACTTACAAAAAATTTGACTCTAAAGTTCAAACTGTAAGGAGATCCTCCTAGAATTAATAAAAGCAATTCTAATTAATCAGATTATATTAATCCTTTATCTTTATAAAGTATATTTCTATAACATCAAGTAAATACGTTTGCTCACTCTTTAGCTGCTTCCTTATTGGTTTGTTTGGATCCAGCCACTTCTGAAAAATAAATAAATAAGACTGATTTCTTTTTTCTTTGAGGAACTAAATACATCAATTCTTGCAAATCTGTTTCATTTGAAGATTAATGCTAAAAATTTTTGAAAGGCCTAGGTAGGGAAAAAAATCACTAAACTTATAGACTCTCATATCAAATATAACAAAATTATGCTAGAAAATATTGGATCTATTTGTGCCTTAAGATAATTGATTTGAATTTCTCATTGTCATACAGTGTACAATAACCTCTATTGCAAAAGGAAAAATGCTTAATAATCATAGCAATATGAAGTGATTCTGCTAGTTTAACTATATTATGTAACAGTCTGGCAAGTTTTAAAAATTCACTTTATCTGTCATAAAAATATGTTGGCTTTATGCTCTCATTCAGACAAAATTTATACACCATGAAAATCTACTCTTACAAAAAACTTTAACTTCTACCCTATTCCTTAAAAATTAAAATAAAATACCCCCTTAAAAAAAAACCCACACTAGTTTTTTAGAGATAATGTTTAGTTTGGAGAAGGATTGCTTATTGTGTGTGAAATTTTTAAGTAGTCTCAATACTTCTGAATGCCAGTTAAGCTCTATTTCAGGAAAATTATAACTAAATTCAGAAAACATTTCAACTGCCAATAATCAGTTAAAAACATTAAAGAACCCAGAATGAGGTAATAAATGTGGCAGTATTTTCAGAGCACTACACAAATATAACCTTATATATTATTATTTATAAACCTTCTTTCTACTATCCATACTTGATTCCATGCAGAGCTCATAATAGATTTTAATAACCCATGAATCTTTCCTTTCCATTATCCACAACATTCACATCAAATCCAACTGATTCTGCCTTCAAACTATACCTAGAAATTAACAACTCTTCTACACTACTCTGCCACCATTCTTATCTCTGGGATAGCTCTGGCCACAGCCTCTTAATTGCTGTCCCTGCTTCTTTTCTTACCATCACGTTCTTTATCCTCCAGATGACAGGAAATGTCACTCCTTTGCTTAATATCTGTTGATACTTTCTCAGTGTAAAGTCCAAAGACTTCACTGTGGTTTTCATGGTCTCTCCTTACCTCTTCTACTTCAATTTACTAAGCTCCAGCCATAATGGCCTCCTTTCTGTTTCTCAAAGATGCCATCTTGAGGCCTTCAATTCCAAGCTTCCTTATACACAGAAGGTCCTTCTCCAGTTTTTCCCATAGCCGACTTCTTTCATTACCTGTAAGTGTCAGCTTAAATTCTACCTCTTCAGAAAGGCCTTCACTGACCACCCCATTAAAAGTATGTCACAAAGCTCCTGTCTACTTAGTTATTTTCTATAAACAGGTAAGGAACATTCAATTCCTTCATAACATTTTCTTAATAGCAATATATTTGCTTTACTTTTTTATTGTCTATCTCCTTTTTATGAAGTCCACAAGGTAAAGAATAAAATCTGATTCATTCAAAGCTGAACAGTCAGTACCCAGCACAGGGCATGGCATATAATAATACCTATTAAAAATATCTGGTGAAGTACTAACTAAACTCACAGTTGGTGATGGTGGGGATCTGTTTCAGTGCCGATAATCAGATGGTTTTACTCCTACTTAACACATCTATTTACTCTATGTATCCACCCACTTATCAATATTCCCATATATCCATTAATATAGTGATTTTTCTTCATATTTTCTAGAAAAACCCCATAAATTACATTTATTTTAATATTTGTCTAAAATCAAAACTTGGGACCAGTTAACTACCCAAAGTCACCTTCCTCATTTGGTTCCCCTTCAAAATATTCTGACATCAGAGATATAAACACATTGATATATACAAATAGATGTGTTAAGCTGACATAGCTTAGAAGGAGTACAATAATAAGCTCTGGGAAATTTAATAGACTTCATAAGCGATATCAACTAAATGGGACTTAGTTTCTTGGCTTAAACCATGAAGATGGAGTGATGTTGTAATGATCACTAACTGTAATCTGCCTTACTTTGTAAGAAAATATTATCTGCACAAATATATCATCATATATTTACCTCCTTATTCATGTTGTCCCAGTATCACTTTGGAGACTGGCTAATTTACACTCTTTTCTGTGGTATGACATTTGAGATGTGTTCTTTCTTTCTTAACTAATTTATTATTGTATATGAGGCACTGTGCCAAGCATTGGAGTAATACAAAGATTAAGATTAGCCTCAAGAATTTGTAAGTCATGAAACATATCAGCTCAAAATAAAGTAACTGCCAGGGAGGTTGGGGGTAGGGTATAGCTCAGTGGCAGAGTGCATGCTAAGCATGCACGAGGTCCTTGGTTCAATATCCAGTACCTCTATTAAAATAAAACAAATAAATAAATAAACCAAATTACCTCCCCCCCAAACAAAAATAAATTAATAAAATAAAATACTAAAGAAAAGAGTCAGTGATGAATAAAGCAAGTACATTGATTTCTCAAGGTGAGAATTGTTCTTTAAGGGAAAAAAAAATGTGACTGCCACAGGGATACAAAAAAGAGAGGTAAATTGTACCCGGAGGTAGTTATGGTAAAAGGCTTTAGAGAGAAAGTGACTTTGAATTATGTGAAGTAAGAGGGGGAAGGTGATGGGTTGGGGTGAGGGATGTGGGGTCAAGGTAGAGGTAAGCCATTTCAGAAAGAGAAAGCATTTATACACAAGATAGCATGTATCAAGTGATTGTATTTCCCATCCATAAAATGTTCCATTTTATACCCATTTTCAGAAACTTAGCTGCAGTTACTTGTCTTGATGGTAGCAATATACGTTATGATATTAACCTTTTGTTTCTCTTATAAATTAATCCCATTTCTTATAAATCAGGTTAGAAAGGTGGGAAAAAGGAAACTAACAACTTTTGATTCAAGCATCTTCCACATAAAGGAATACTAGAGTCACTATGTACAAGCTTAGCTTTCTTGTTGGCTTTTACTCCGTATAAAAATCCAGCCAGAAAAGTAAACAAAAGATAGGCTCAATAGCACAACAGAAAGAAAAGGTGAAGAAAATTTAGATTCGATCCCAACTTTGCCCAACAATAGTTATGCTATCCTGGGTGGGCTTAAAAAAAATCAACAATAAAAACAATGCCAGAGAACCGATGGGTCCTGAAATGAATCCTGGTTAGAACACTTTCCCACTATAGGTCCCCTTTAACCTTCCAAGAGTCTTTTTCTTCATTTGTCAAATTATGTGGCTGAACCAAATGGGTGGCTGTTGAGTGTTGGTCAATGAGTATCAGACTAACAGAGAGAACTTTTCCTAAAATATTTAGGTCTTCTTAGATCAAGTAACTATGGGTCCCTAGGCATGGAGTATCAGTATTTTTTTTTAGGATTCCCAAAAGATTTGCAAGTATAGCCATGTTTCGATGAATGCCCATTTACCCCTTTGTTTCCTATAATAACTTATAAAAATATCTGAAAACAATATCCAAGTAAAATATTCAATTCTCTCTCTTTCTTCTCTCTCTCTTTCTTCTCTCTCTCTTTCACACAAAAGACACAAGACATAAGTCCTTCATCATGGCTCTCTCAATCCTACTCTCTCCTCTGCAGAGGTAACTACACTCACATATTAGTAATGCTGTCATATATTGACATACTGCACATTACATTTTATTTTAAATTTTATTTATTTACTTATTTTTGAGAAATTAATTAACTAATTATTTACTTAATGTATTTTCTGGTCTTCTATGTTGGCACAAATACTTCGGTCTTTTTAATGGATGTATAGTTTACCTTTGTATGGATGTCTCATTTTTATTAAACTATTCTCCTATGGATGAGTATTTCAGCTTTTTCTATTATTATTTCCTATTACACATAATGCTGCAAGAGAAATCCTTGCATAAAGCAAAATTTAAATTTTGATTCATGCTGCCAATCTGCCTTCCAAAAGACTTTTTCATTTTACACTCTCACCAACAGTGTTTGAGAATCCAGTTTTCCCTGAACCTTCGCCAGAAATAGTTATTATGAATCTTTACATTTCTGCTACTGTAGCATGCAAAAATGCTATCTCATAATTTTATCTGGCCTATCTCTGATTTACTAGTGTAGCTGAACATCTTGTCATGTTTGTCATTCATACTTTCTATTCATGCCATCTTCCCATTTTTCTATTGGGTTATCTGACTTTTATTTATTATTTGTAGAAGCTCTTTTACATATCCCAGATTTTAACAATCTATTAAATATGTTAAGCATTTTCCTCCAGTTAGTGGCTTATATTTTAATTTTCTTCAGTGTCTCTCATTGTACATTGTAAATGTTACGTAGTGAAATGTCAGTATTTCCTTTATAAATGTTTGGACTATTGTCATCTAGGATGATCATACCAAGCAAGTACTATTATAAAATGTTATTTCAGATTTTTATTTAACACTTTTATATTACTATTTTACATTTAAATTTACACTGGAATTTATTCTTGTATATGGTATCAATTAGGACTCTAATGCATTTTTTTTCCAGCTTCAACCAATTGTTCTAACACCTTTCCTGATCTAAAATGTCACCATTATTTTTTTTTAAAAAAGTTACCATATAGATAAAAATATACTCTTGGACTGTTTCTTCTACCACATTTGTTTATGTTGACACTAATACCACACAATTTTAAATACTATACCATATGATAGATAGATAGATAGATAGATAGATAGATAGATAGATAGATAGATAGATAGATACAGATAGACAGATAATCTGTTAGGGCAAGTTGTTTACATTTTATGTATTTTTATCCAGATTTTCTTCCAGATGAACTTGAGGATCTCAGTATCAACTTCACTCACTCCACCCCAAAAATTCAGTTCAGATTCTAATTAGCAATTGCACTGAATTTACCAATGAAATTGGTAACACTGAGTCTTTTTCATCCTGAACATGTTATTCCTCCATTTATTCATGTCTTCTATCTTCCTCTAGAAGACTTGACACCCCTCATGTCAAAAGTTTATTCATAGAC